ATGTGTGTGTGTGTGTTTTAATTTCATTTATTTATTTATTTAAATCACTAAGCAGTTTTTCTGCTTTCCTCTGGAGGGAGCCACTTTATTAAAGGACAAAGATATTCAAGATGCTGGAAGGTTTCTCAGTTTGAAGTTGAACATTTTAGCTAAGTGAAGAGTATTCCACAGTTTTCTGGTTTTGCAAATTTTATATTACACACGGTAAAGACTTTACCTTTTCAATTTAGTTTAATTCAAAAATAAGTATAATTTTCCATGTTTTTTTTATTTATTATGACAGTGTTTATTTTTCACATGCTGCTCTGCACTTCCTGCTTTGTTTGACAGCATGATTGATGGCGGTTCAGCTGCGGACTGGAAGTGCAGCCCCCCAGGGCCTCAAAGCAGCCAGGGCTAATTGATAAATTCATTATGACTGTCTGGCAGCAGAGAGAACTAAGTTTCAGTGGACAGTCTACTGTACTGTGTGCTGCGGAGCACAGGAACAACCTGTTTTGTCTAGATGTAAGATTGCACAAAGTCAACCGAGCAGTTTCACAATTTATTGTAGTGCAATCAAGCTCAGGAACATTCTCACGGTTGGTGCTGTGAGTGAAATATCAAAACAGTTTGGGGCTAAGGGGCCTGCTTTGTCCAGCTGGCACGGCCAAAGACTAGAACACAATATGTGAAAATTAAACGAGTCATGAACACATTTTTGGAGATTAAAAAATTGATATACGGTAAACTTTTTTTAATTTATTTTTTTCCTCCCAAACCAATTTGCAGACTGTTGCTATAAATGCATTTTAACAAGAAAAACATGGTAGTGAAATTTTCTACCATATGTCGAATAACCAGTTGGTATAAATTTAGACAAGACGATTATTAATTAGCTAATAAATCTTTAGGTTACTTGAATAACCCCACTTCACAGAGTTAATGAGTGTAATGTCTCAATATGTCTCAGGAACTCTTCAGAAGCACTTACCTCATTATGCCAATCCTGATCGGCTGGTGATGCCTGCATTGCCTACCCTTTAAGTAGCTTGTGCTACGATGTAGCATCATTCGAGATAAGCACCTGTTCTTGCTTCTGCCCAGCAAGAAGGATTGGCTGGTGAGAAATCCAACTCCTGCTACTCTGAGAATTGGGGTTACGCAAGAAAACTAAAGTTCTCGTTCATAGCATTCGTTTCGATGTCTCACTATGGGATATGAAGACTCCCATACTGCCAGTCTAGAAACCACCATCATCCTCAGTCAGCCGTAACATATTTTCTCATTCAGCTTTCCATTCTCATCTGTTTCCCATAAAATCACCCAGGTGTTGTCACTTTCCACTCACCCTCTGTCTCTATTTAAACCATTTCTGATCGCCACCTCAACAGTGGATCATTGTCTTGGCTCCCTGCCAGATGTCCCAGTCCTCCTTCTTGTGCTCCTTGTGCTTTTTGTGCTTCTTAGTTTTTATAAATGTTCAATGATTCAAGGTCAAGGATTCAAGGCTCTTTATTTGTCCTACACACTACATGTGGTACATATGGTGGAATGAAATTGTGTACACAGGGTCCCAGTTACATCCAACAAAAGTATTAAAATGTAAAAGAAAAACAGTAATCAGATCTAAAAGGTTAACTAAAAATACACTAAGCACTAGTAGTATATTGCTTCCATGTCAGTTTTTTTTGTTTTGCTTCATTTAATAAATCAGCTTTATTTTACTCAAGAGCCTCATGTCTGCCTGCATCTGGGTCAAACCCTTATCTGACTGTGACAGCATGTCACTGAAAACCACAGACTATGTACTGGGTGAAGAGAGAGTGCAATGATTAGACCAGGAGCCAGACAAACATATTTCACCAGAGAAAAGAAAGAAAACAGAAAGAAAAGCTTTGCAGAGAGTGATGAAGTTTGCACAGAAGTCTGCTGGACTCAGCCTCCTCACCATCACAGACATCTACACCTCTAGATGCAGGAAGAGGGCCACCTGCATCATGAAGGACCCCACACACCCAGCACACACACTTTTTGCCCTGCTCCTCTCGGGCAGAAGACTGAGGAGCATTAAGTGTAGAACCACTAGGCTGAGGAACAGCTTCTACCCTGAGACTGTTAAAGACTCATGAATCCCTAACCAGGAAAAATCATAGTGAAAATCACTGTGAACAAACAAATCTGTGAAAATCGCTGTAATGCCACTTGGTTGTTGATATGTGCTGCTGACGATCCATGATGCTGATCTCATGCTGCTGATTACTTCATGCTGCTGTGTTCATTAATCCTCATCTGCTCACATAGACTCATGTTCATGCTGCTGCTGTTCTGGCACATTGTTTTGTACCATTAGTGCTTAGTGTATTCTTAGTTTAGTGAATGTAGTATATTCTTAGTTCATAGCTCGGATCTTACTAATGTTTTTCTTTACAATGTGTATTTTTGTTGGATGTAACTGGGACCCTGAGTACATAGTTTCGTTCCACCTCATGTACCACATGTGGTGTGAATAACAATAAAAATCCTTGGATCCTTGTAAAACAAACCAATTTGAACAAGAACCAAAACCAAACCAGAACTAAACAAATCCAGCAAAACTCTATTAAAGATAAAAACAGTCTATAACATATTATACTCTGTACAAAGAAAACATTTCAACAGAAAAATGGCACACTTTTTTACTCTTATAACTATTTTTTTAAAGCATAAAGTTTAAAAATGTTTACTTTGAGGAACTTCTTGACAAATTAACAAAATTAGGAAAAATTCTTCTGAAAACCCCCCCAACAACTATGGGTTCAGGAGGTCTTCTGAGAGATCTCACTGAATACAGTTTGTTGGCACAATTAAAAAATAAATGCTACAACTTTAGAAAATATAATTGAGGGTGTGGTAAAGTTGAAATGTGTGTTCTGCTCTGAAGAGTCTAAATATGAAATTGATGCTCATCAGATTAAAGTAACGACCAACAGTTAAAAGCTGACTTTAATAACACAAATTTGACTCACTGCACACAATTATTTTAAGGAAATAGTTCCTATTTTTCAGCACTTACATAATAAATGGAAATGAAATGCTCAACTGGTTAATCCAGCTGTGAAATCATTTGCTACAAAACACAGTGAAGTAAAATAACCTCCAAACTCTTGAGCTGATAAAATCCTGTTTCCTCAGGTTATGAACTAATTCACAGTCTTCTACTCAATGCATGATTTGTGCTGGGATCAAAATAAAATGATGGTACAGTAAATTGGTTTTGCATAAAATATTTGACTAATTTAAAAAAGAGAAAATATATGATGACTTTTAACGTGACAAGCTACAGGTATTTTTTTAAATCTATTCTCATTTTATCAGTCCTGCAGCTATTTTGGAAACAGCATCATGTCATACATTTGTTTAATCTAAGATTTCCCAAGACAACTTTTCTCCATTTCAATAAAGAACGTCTAAGGTGATTTATCTGTCTTGACAATCTACCAAGCTTGGATTTCCTGTGCAAGCTGCACGGGCTTGTCGGTGACAACTGGGAATGAGAATTAGGAATTGAAGGGATAAGAAAAGAACTGAGCAGTTATCCTTTCACCTGGACTGGACACCCATGCAAAACCTAATGGCAGCACACTGTGGTGAAATGAAAGGGAAACTCTTATTTAAATGTGCAGCCATACATCCCACGTTTTTTGTCATTTCCTACTGAAGACAAAGCAGCTATAATGTTATTGCTTGTTTCTGTGTTTAATTAGCAAAATATCTCATAAGCATCTTGATGAAATATAATGAAACATTCAAGAAATAATAAAAGTAATTGTACATGTACAAGCAATTACCTTTTAAATTGAACCCATTTAAGACAGTTGACACAGCCAGCCAAACTTTTCTAGCACAAAAATGGTTCAAACACAACTTTTACAAACATTGAGCTGATTTTGATGTGGTAGTAGTGGAGGTCGTCCTCAACACATATTCTGAGTGCCAACACATCTAGCAGGATGTCACAGCATTGATTGCAGATAACGTCGTTAATAAGATTTGATCACAACTTTGTCGTTTCTCCTCTTAAGATGATCTCAGTTTAAAACTGGCATGGAAGGTGGCGGGCAATATGCATTCATTCACTGACAGGCCTTTGAGAAGAAGAAAAGAGTTCTTAGGCAGCTTCTTCACAGGGAAGTATGAGTGTTTGTGTTAGTCTGATTTTTTTGTGAACTCTTGCGTTGTTGCTGTTAAGTGTTGAGGACAAAAGCTCCCTCATTCATTGGGCCTGGCACAGCTCCAGGTTTTGGAGACATTTGTTGTAACATATTTGACATGTTGGGAAAAGGGGGTGGGAGTAATCCTCGGCCCACTGTTATTTTTTACCTTTTACAACAAGGCCCTTTTCTCCACTAAGTGAGGTACGATGGGTTAATGATGGTTGCGTGCAGACATGGCTAT